TCTTTATTCTCGGGCCAAACGCTTAATCATTCCATTAGTCCTATGCTTAGGACTAGAGAACATGCAATGAAAATATTATAAGAATAAAGTTCCAGAGGTCAAGGTTTACAGAAAAACAAAAATCAATTAGGTATGGATTTGACGGTTTATTATAAATTTTATATAAAAATCGATTTATATTCTAGGATTAACAAAAGTTTATTATAAAATGGATTGTATGTAATCTAGTGGGCTCTAATTTGCTCCTTTTCCGATTTATGAGATGTAAACAAGTATTTGTATACATCTGAAGCATATGGATCATTAGCAACGCTGTAATCAGGTTTTAATTTCTTGACTCTTTCATTTTCAACAGCTTTCTCAACAGCTCCTAATCGTGTCGATGGTTCCTACATTCGATAAAAGAATACTAGTAAAATATTTATTTATTATGGGATGCAATACATACGACTTTTGGTTAATTCTCTACCTTTTCTTCAACTTTAACCTTAGCTTTGATTTTCTTAACTACTTAATTTTTCGTTTGTCTAGCTTCTATGCGAACTTTCATTAGTTCCACATCATCTTCATTTCCATTGATTATAACTATATCAGATTCATCACAGGATTGTTGGCACTAAAAATAATTTATTAACAAATGTATAATAAATAAATATTCTTTAACAAAAAATATATTATCTTCCTATCTTAACACGTTTACTCTGAGTGGTACATATAGGTTCTAACAAAATATTTTTTAATTTCAGGAACAAAAGAATTGAGAAAGTAATAATTTCATAACAAACTTACCTTATGGCAAATAGTAGTAGGAACTTCTTTCCAGGCACGTTCAGAAAATACACATCCAGAGTTTGCATTATGGAACAAACCTAAATTTTCCAGACATTTCAAGACCAATGACTGGACAAATGTAAGTTTCTCTTCTATTATCAACTAAGTCAACATTAGCATTGAATTCTTGGTTTAAGGTTAGCTTCAAATTTCACATCCTTATAAAAGAAAATATATTATTAAGTGTTTCTGATGTAACAAAATAAAAAATAATTACCTTCAATGACCTGATGTGTCTTGAATATTCAGGTAAAATTTCCCTGTAAAATAAAGCCTCAATGAGTACAATCTTGTTGTATAAACGACCCAAACCACAAACAACAATAGGGTTTTCCACTACTTGCTGTGTTATTGCACAACATCTCCATTGGAAAACTAATTCCAAATCCTTCTCTTTCTAATAATGAAATTAAATCGTGAATTAATTTGTAAAGTAATGCGCAAGTTGTCATACTTACAGTTTCAGTGTTCTTTTTTACTCTAACCAACTCATCACGGCGAGGAATAGTTTCAACATCCACATTTTCTATCAAGTTTTATAAGTAAATTATTAAAAAAAGAAAATATTAGAAGAAATGAATAAACATTGAAACGTTCACTGTGGTTGTGACTTACCCATGACTTACAATCCAATTTATTTTATATTCGATTTCTAATTCCATACGTAGTTAATAACACATCTTCATTGGCTGCAACAAAACTACCATTATGTGCGGTAAATTCGAAAAAAGGCCCAATTCATGAAGTTTCTACATATAATTTAGAATTTAAAGCAACTGACATTCTATTATCATGTCCATAACTTATTTTTTTTTTAATAATTATATTTTTATTTTATGAAACGCAAACACAAGTTTATTAATTTTTAGTGGATTTCACGATACTTCATTATTAAGAAAAAATATTTTTCTTTTATTTTTTCTCTGTTTTGAAACTATAAACGAAATGTTAAAAAAAATCATCCGAAAATACTAACATTCATAATGAAAATGAAGCCAAACTTTTAGATATTTCAAGCGATGAAGATGATGAATTTGTATCAGCATGAGAAATACATTTACATGTTTTGTAATCTTATTCTTGTTAATCAAATATTAATATATTGCTTGCCTTATAGTATAAATACAAATTGATTATGACCATCATAGAGGTGATAATTGCTTCAATGTATTAAAATTAAATCAATTAATTAAAATTATATCAAGAATATATAAAATAAAATGTGCTATTCGAAGTTCGACTCACATGCAGAGATGGCAATGCCATTAATAAAGTCAAAATTGAATTGGTGAATTGAAGTGGTGCCTCAGTTCTTCTTGCGTTACGATAATATGAATACACAAGCAATAAAAAGAAAGCAACTGGCCATTCAAAATAGACTTCCTTATACATTAAAAATGTGTATGATGATGAAACATCCGATGATGCAAGTTGGTCTACCAGTTCCTTCCGAAAGTACTTTGCTTTGGATGAAGGAGATTATGACACGTGAGATTATAATTTGGTCTATTTTCAAACAGGAATTGGAATTGATAGTGAATATATTTGAAAAATATAAGATAATAATCATTGATAACATCCAGTAATATAATGAGGAAGGTACAAAGTTGAAGCTAAAAAAATGCTACTGCCAATTACATTGTCTCGTTGAAAGGGCAGAAGAATCGTTTGATATTGTTATTAATGGCCATTCGAAAATTGATATTAATATCGTTGCTTTACAGCAATTCAATGCTTATTATCAGATGCAAGGTCCAGTGTTAGCGGATTTTTTGTTCAAAAAACTTAATTTAAAAGAGATTTTTCTATGTTTATGGAAAACTTCGAATGACTTAATATAATTATGTTTAAATCATTTATTTAAAAAATTAGAAAGCTAATTATTATATAATAACATAAAATAAGAGTCAATAAATTTTTGCAGCAGTAAACATTTTGTTTTTTTTATTGTAACTTGGCACTTTCGTGCTAGTAGCTTTTTTTACCGGGGCCCTACCTTGGCCCTAGAGCGATTTTTTTACTATTATTGTATGACAATATTTGATTTTATTTATTTTTTACTATTGCTATAAATAGTATTCTTTTTACATTCAAATCAAAGCAGCTATTCATCGCAGTCTTTCCATTCTTAGGTTATTATTATCTGTATATTTGTAAATAAATAAATTTATTTTTTCCTGTATACAATATTTGATTGTTTTTTTCTCTCTCTATAAATTAAATAGTTGTTGAACTAGTTTTTCTCCCTCGAAAATAATATTTTTCTATAGCGGTCAATAAACATTTATTTATATTTTGTATTGTATACAGTTATTGAAAAAATGTTTATTATTATATTTCTCTAATAAACTATGTTTTACCAATTGCTACTATATTCTCTGACAGACAAAATGCAAATTCGAACATGTTGCATGTGTATTTATTTTAAAATCTGAGATTTATTTACCGAAGATCGCATGCATCAAAAGTAGTATTATTGAAAGAAAGAATGAAACCTTTTCTTCATTACTTGTGAATTCTAGTCTTCGTATATGAGTTGTTGTTTTTGAAAGTGGTATCAGTTCATTTTTTCATATATCGAGATATTTAAGGGTTTGCATTTGAATCCTTTTAAAAGTATTGGCAAACGCTAATAAACGCTTTTGATGTTTTGATGAAAGAAAATAAATTTATTTTCATAGGTTTTATAATAAATATTTTGAATATCCCATATATGTATCAAAATGTGATGTTCACACAGTTATTTAATTGTTAATATTCAGTATTCTAACTTTTTTTGCAATTTTCGTTTCTAGTTTTATAATATATAATTAACATACATTATAAAAATATAATCCTTCTTTTTTCTTATTGCTGCTTTTATGTAACATGTTAAGAAATTCAAATTTGGCCAGCTTGATTTGTATTTAGTAGTCTTGGTAAATAATATTCTTTTAGTGTTTTTTCTGAGTTATATTGTATTTTATATTATTTACATTATATAATTATTTGCATATTACTATACATATTAGCTTCCCTCATTAATAAATGTTGAAATTGTTAACAAATAATTATTTTAAAGCATACATATACTAAATCTAAACAGAATAAATTTTAAAAAATAACTAAAAAAAATATACAATATATAATTTATTCTTGATTGATTTAATTAATTAAATCATTTTCATTTACCTAATCAATAGATTTATAATTATCTTCATGCCTTGCTTACTATAAAAAGAAAAACAAAAAAGTTAACATGACAACTCGCAAAATAAATTAATTAGCTTATACTTACATTTGCTTCTTGACTCTGAAAATAATTTGTATAATTTTCTCATTTTTAATATGATATTTTTTTAAAATGTCAGTATTTGAAATAATTAGTTTTATAAAATTATTTATGTCCATTCCGGATCGTATCTTTGTTAGATTGTTATGTACCGATGAAGATGCTTCGGTCGCTACATTTTCTATCATATCCGTCAGCTCCTAAATATGCAGGTAAGAATGTAATATTTTTACGAAAGGAGAGGATAGGGAGTAGGGGAATACAAGGTATAAGGTAATTTTTAGTAGAAGAGCTGGCTTTATTTTACCAAGAAATAAACCGGCATGTTTGAAAATACATTCAAGCTTCCGCAGTTTTATATTTTTATGGTTTTGAAAGTAATGTTTGGCAATTAATGCACATTATTAATTGTCAAAGTTGTATGCATATTTTTTTTGAAAATCTGAAATGTAAATTTTTGTCTTTTAATATTAAAATTTCTCTAACTTGTCTAAATAAAAATTTGTCGGGTGCAATCAAATTTAAATTTTCTGGCGTCCCGAAGTTCAAAACATTTTGATTTTAATCTATTAATCCAGAAATACCTAGAAAAAAATATATTTATGACGGTATGTTGTATTTCTTTATAACATAAAAATGAAAACAAAATTACATTGCTTATTTACATAATATAAAAACTATAATTAAAAAATTGATATTCAAGTTATCAAAGAAATTGAATTAGAAATTAGGCCAGTTTTCCGAATATTTTAGCCAATGAGTGAGCCGTCAACTGCGCAAGACATGATAAGGAGTATAAAATGGTTTGGATTGTAAGGCAAGTTACTTTTGACTAGTGAGTGTGGGTAGGGTCGGGTCGGGTCGCATCGTTAAGAGTGAAGTTAAGTAGTGGAGGAAAATGGACACCAGTGACAATTTTGACGAAAAGCCAGAATTTCAGTCTCCTTATGGGTTTATAGACAACGGCACCTATACTTTCAGTGCTGCTGGTCCAAGTTATTCGGGTTCGAGTGCAACACAGGTGACAGGGGAGCATTTCGCGGCGGACAGTACTTATTATTCCACCAGTGCGCAGTCCGTAAGTAGGCCATCTCCGGCTGAAGTAACATCGAGGCCAATAAAAGTTGAATCTCAGAAACCCGGCATAGCCATCGACAACCAGCAATGGGTGTATGGTTCGAACGAATTTCACGATACCTCAAGATACACTTCGCAGACGACGGGGACGTCGGGTTACTACTTAGGAGGTGAAGACGGTGCGCCTGTTTCTGTCGGAGAATGGTCGACAACATATAGCACGCCGTATCAGTACGGCAACTATGAATTAACAACACCTGAAACCGAAGGACAGGCGCTTCTACCTATGTCTTCATTCTATGCCAATGAGACCGTAGCTGCGACAGCTCCACCGATCAATCCTGGCTTCACACACACAGACGGTATCAGCAAAACGTTATACCCATTTGCAGAAAAAGCGAGCGCAAGTTATTGCTTTGTACCATCAACGCCTGTCAGCTCGCCACCTTCCTTAGCTCCATCGGAATGGTTAGCAAATTATAATTCATCACATTCTTCACACTTCGTACAGGCTGCAAGCAAGAACAGAACAAATCTTGGTTTACACATGCCCACTGCTACAGAAACTTTACGTTTGGAAGACACCAACGGCTTGGTAAGGAACCATGTGGAGAATGTTAACGGAATACGTATGGAAGAAAGATTGGATGAAGCCATAAATGTTTTGCAGAACCCCGCACAATATCAGCTGGGAATGGGTCAATTACTTGTGAATACGAAGGCCTTAAGTTCAGTAGAAAGTATTCCTGATAATAAATCTAGGAGAATTAGGAGATACGGGACAGATGAGGAGGAAACTGACGAACTTGGAAATAAGGCGGTGCGTGAGAAAGATCGCAGGCAGACCAACAATGTTCGGGAACGGATACGTATCCGAAATATTAACGAGGCGCTTAAAGAATTGGGGCAAATGTGCATGTCACAATTAAATACGGATAAACCCCAAACAAAGGTGGGAATCTTAAATATGGCTGTTGAAGTTATAATGAAATTAGAGGAAAAAGTTAGAGAAAGAAATTTAAATCCAAAAGCAGCTTGCCTGAAGAGGCGTGAAGAAGTGAAAGCGGAAGATTGGCAAGAACAAGTTCCTGGACCTCAACAAATGTTATCAGCTTCTCACTACGATGTCATACCAGCACAACATTTGCCACACAATCCCGGACAGCCTCAATAGGATTAGTTCCGTATGTTTATTTTTATATTTTTTTTTCTGAATAGACCAAAACTATTGCTAGTGGTTGGAACTTGAAGTTGACTATATCATAAGCATAATTATTATGTAAATATTTGTAAATAAACAAATTTAATGTTTTTGAATATAATAGCTAAATGTTTGTATTTTCTTCAACCTATAAAAGAAATAGTCGATAAATTGTAATGTCTTTAATTATGTGAATTATATAAAATTTTTTAGAGTAATAATTTAGTAATCAGTTACTTTAAATTGTAAATTGTATGTTGGTGGAACTTCAGGATTTTTTTTTTAAATCCCCACAATTACTGATTTGTCATCATCTGCGCACGAGAAAACTCAAATAAAACTGGACTGGTAGTAGCATTGTAAGGTATTAGTTTCACAGTTTGATTTGGATGAAGGAAATCATGAGAAGCGAGTTGTTAAGTTGGTCAATTTTCATTGATGAATTGGATTTGATAGTTTTCTAGTTATAAAGCAAGGATCAGTGATAAATTTCAGGAAGATAATGAGGAAGGTATTAAGATGAACTTAAAAGAATATTTTCGTCAATTACATCATCTCCTTGAACAGTCTATGGAATTATTAGATCTTGCGATTGGTGCCCAATCGCAGATAGATAATAATATTACATATCAGGCATTCAATATCTATTTTAATATGCAAAACAAAGTTTTCAATGACTTTACTATAAAAAATACTCGATTGCAAGAATGCTTTTGGACTTTCATAAAAAACGTATAAAATTAGATTGTAAAAAATTGAAAATAAATAAATTGATTCTTTTATATTTATTATGTATTCTTTACATTTATGCTAAATATTTTTTTATTAAATATATCAAATATTAATTATTGGCCTACTGTCAATAGCCTTTTGTATCAGTTGACTTTTTTGAAATTATATATATTTATTTTTTTTTGTACGACTGATGTAATAAACATAATAATTATTATTAATTATAAATTACATATATTGAAATTAAATTTTGTAATGTGACTGATAAAATGTCGTTGGTTAAAAGGTTCGTTATCGATTAGAGTGAACATTGAATTATGGGAATTCTTGAGTGTTTTATAAAATATAATTTGTTATTAAAACTCTAAATAATCAGTTAGTCATAAAGTTAGTAAGTGCAAGTAGTACGGTTCAATGTAAAAACAGGAAGTAAAAGAACAAATATAAATGGAACTCTTCGAATGACGATGAATTGAATTTTATTGTGATAAACAAAAGAAAAAAAATGCACGAAATACAAATTCGAGCGCACGGAAAAAATACAACCTAAACAAATCCCAATCGACATATAAATGGTTCATTTAAAAAAAGACGGAAAGTAGTCAGTCTTGAGAAATAGCAAAAGCTGCAACATAAAAAGCAATACTGAAAATACTGAAAATTCGAATGAAGCCACATAAACGATGGTAATGATATTGCTACCAATGATGATATATCTAAACGACAGAAGTAATCGAGTTTTATTAAATACCAAATAAGTTATTGAATTGTTTTACATTAGATGATATTTTTCTGAGAGATATTATTTTCTGAAAACTTTTCCGTATATTTAGAGTTTTGATATGGTTAATACTTATTTGAAAATATTTATAAATTTAAATTCACCTAAAAATATATTCATATTCGATATTCTTCTTGTACTTTTTTTTGTCCGGTAGAAATGTTTTTAATCTCAAACTTATCATTTATTTTTTTGGTGAATATGAAATATAGAATAAATACTGCTATTATTTTCATTTCATATATACTTCATTCGTATTTGACAATAGCTTCGTTTAGTTTGATTTGTTACCAGTATTTCTATTATTAATAAAATGATTTAAGTTATATATATACATAATTATATAATATATACATATTTATGTTGATGTAAACCAATTTGAATTAAGATACATATTTCGAAGAAATTATTATACAACAGTGATCATAAATTGGTGAATAAAATAAATAATAAAATGAAAATAATCTGTAATTATAAGTATTTATAATCAAGCACAAAAATCAAGTTATAATTATACGTATTTCTAATTAATACTTTACAAAAATATTTATTTAAAATATTTCATATCTTTGACGAAAAAGGAATATTATATTGTTTTGCATATTTAAAATTATATTTTAATTCATATTTGATCACGTGCGTACTCGTTTTGCTGAATAAACTATAAATTATTTTTATTTATAGTTAACATATTTTGTTACTATGGTGTTTCTTTGTGAAATAGAAGAGAGTAACATCGACGATTCAATTGAAGTGGTGGTTGATGAAACAGTTACAAATACCACAAGTGATGAAATCACTGAGTCATATTCAGAACTACAAGAATCTGTAGAAACAACGGTGACTTCATCAATATCGAACACAGTCACTTCAACAGGTTTGGTAGTTCCGAATCATACAGAATTACAAAACCCAGAGGACCAAAGTACATCTAATCGATGTTCAAATAAAAATGCTGCAACAATGACTTCATCTGATGCAGAAGTTAGGAATCAATCAAATCAATACCCTGAAAAAGTAGACGCTGCAACAATGACACCAACGTTTCCAGCATACAGAACTCGATCAACACCATTCGATAATTCACTAGCTGATAATCCATCATACGATGTAGTCCAAAAACATTTCTATTTAGTGGAAAAAATCAATGAACATCGCTTAACATGTTCAATATGTAATGATACATCTTTACCAGACAATGCTCGGATGACATCTGCCTTTACAAGTCTCAGAAATAGAACAAATCGATACAATGCGAGAGGAAACACTGATAATTTACCAGACAATGTACGTATGTCATATATCTTTTCAGGTAACAGAAATGTATTAAGTCGATACGATAATCAATTAAATCAAATAAGAAGAACCAATAGACATTGCGATTCATGTATACAATTTAATGAAAATACATCTTTACGAGATAATGAATACGATGCTCATTTACATTATTTGAGAACAACAAACAGACATTGCCATTCATCTGTACTACGTGATGGAAATACATCTTTCCCATTTAATGTAATGGATGATCATTTAAATTTTTTGAGAAGACTAAACAGACATTGCCATTCATGTCTACAATCTAATGAAAATACATCTTCATCAGAAAATACACATGATGGTTACTTAAATCGATTAAGAAGAGCCAACATACATTGTCATTCATGTATGCCATGTAATGAACATACATCTGTGTCAGACAATGTAAACGATGAACATTCAAATTTTTTGAGAAGCAGGCATTGCTTTTCATGTGTACCGTGTAATGACAATACATCTTTACCAGACAATATATACAATGATCATTTTAATTTATTGAGAAGAACCAATAGTCATTGCCATTCATGTATGTCATGTGAAGATGATAGAAAATTATCAAATGATGTACGAATGAAAACTACCATTTCAGGTGTCAGGCATGTTTCAAATCGATACGAATATCACTTAAATCAAATAAGAAGAACCAATAGACATTGCCATCCATGTATACCATGTAATGAATATGATTTTATACATGACTTTGATCAGGAGGATCGTTTAAATTTCTTGAGAAGAAATAATAGACATTACCGTTCACATATATCAAGTAATAATGATACATATATGTCGGATGATACAGGAATGTCATCTTCCTATTTAAGACTCAGGGATATAGTAACTCGACACAATGATGACTTAATGAGAGGAATCAATGATAATATATTTTCATCAGATGATGTAGGAATGAGATCTACCTATTCAGGTGTCAGCTATATATCAAATCGATTCAATAATGACTTAAATCCATTGGAAAGACCACCATTGAATAGACATCGGCATTCTGCTATACCTGTATCATTAAATTCAGGTCACTCGACTATTCACACTTTTGTCTCATCTAAACAAAGAAAAATAACTTTCAGAACATTTACAAGTGCACCAAATCAACAATTTGTTAAATTTTTATCATCAAGTAATAAAGATTCTGGATCATCAAGAGAATTGAATATATACAATTTTGTTTCACCTTTACTAACTCATGAACCATCAGCATCAAATGCCCCAAATGTTACAAGTCAATTTGATCAATTAAATTCTTCATCAACGAATAGAGATTCAGGCTCATCAAGCGAATCGAATGAATTATCTTCATCAAGAGAATCCAATGTTCACACTATTGACTCATCTTTATTATGTTCTGAAACTATAACATCAAATGTCTCAAAACCTACAAGCGCAACTGATCAATTAAATTCTTCATCAATTAATAGAGATTCAGGCTCATCAAGCGAACCGAAGGAATTGTCTTGCTCAACAAATGGTGTTTTGGATCAATTATCATTAAATAGACGATCATCAAGAGAATACAATGTTCACACTTTTGTCTCAGCTTTAATAAATTCTGAAACTTTTATATCACGGCCTCGTGGTTCAGTAAAATTAAAAATCCTGACAAATACAAGTAGATTAAATAAAAATATTAATTCTGTAAGTTGTGTAACGTCAAATAATACTTCTACTTCAACTGTTCAAAGTCTTGATACAGTAATACACGTCAGTAGTTTGAGTCCTTCCTTGCAAATACCTAGATATAGTATCGCAACATTATCATCTAATATCATGACTTCTACATCTAGTCGAGACTCGTGTATTCCCAATCCTTCATCAGGAAATTACGTCAATACACCCCCTACACCAAGGAATGATCAAATATCCAATTCCATCTCATCAACATCATTTAACACTTCTGTCTCATCTTCGCAAACTCTTAAACCAATAACTTCAACAAATGTTCCTCCAACAACATTAAATCTGCGTTATTATCAAATCAAATCATCAGCAAAACGTAGATTGATCACTTGCATTTCAGCTGTATTAGCTCCTTTTCATGTATTTTTTATATTTATATATTTTATATTTATTTATTTCTATTTTTCTGAAAGTCATTCTTAGATGAATTAAATCCTTCATCAATATTATATGGAGATGTAGAAACGTAAACATTATTGAATATTAATGTTTCTATCTCACTCATTGCATTTAAAAATTACATCAAATATCATAAATATCATACAATTCGATTAACTCAATCTATCCAAATTATTTAATGATACATATCCATTCAATAATT